CAGAGGAGGCATCTGGAATAACTCTCATCATGACTGCCCCATTTTGGAAATAATCAATTTAAGGAATCAGTTTATAAATTTATCCGTTGGTCGTAGGCAGAGGAAGAATTTGGAATAACTGTCATTGTGACTGTCCTATTTTGGAAATAATCAATTAATGCTTAAAAGACAATAAAAATAAGACAAAAAACCGCAAATTTATGTCGCAGGTAGCGATATGTCTGCTAATAAGCAGAAGAAGCCTACAGGAAATAACAATCAAAGTTTAAATTGAAGTTGGAATGCAAAAATTACAATAGGTTTTCCGGTCACAACTGCAGGAGAGTGGCCATGAAACTTGGAGTACTCATCTAGTATCCATGCCATGGTCTGTTTCACAACAAAAAAAGCAAGAAAAAGTGATTGAAGACAGTTCATAATTACAGAAAAAATTACCAAGCTAAACACATCAAATATACTAGACAATATCTGATACTTTATGTTAAGTTTATATGACCAACCTGTGGACCAGTACCCATATCAGGTGCAGGTACATCAGTGTGGATTCCAATCAAATCATGTATTTTTTGAGTGAAAACCCTAGTTAGTCGTTCTAGTTCAGATATGCTTAAAGTCCCTGGATCACAGCCGATCCCACCTTTAGCTCCTCCATACGGGATATTTGCTACTGCTGTTTTCCATGTCATTAGTTGCGCTAGAGCATTCACCTCATCTGGGTCAACCTGTTTTAAATAGAATCATCAGAAAGGATAATATGTAGGTAAAGAAGAACTTATCTTCCAGGCAAAAATCCTTCCATTACTATTCTAATCTGAATTATTCATGAAGAAACTTCACAACATGTTAAAGTTCCAAATCAAGGTACCATTTCCACATTTCAGGTTATTTAGGAAATTCCACGATTTTATTTTTATCTTCCTCCTGAAAAAACCAAAATACGAAGAGCATTACAACCTCTGGGTGGTATCTGATCCCTCCTTTCATGGGACCTCTTGCATTGTCATGCTGAACCCTGAACCCAACATAAGATGCCAAAGTGCCATCGTCCTTTGGTATGGTACACTCAACCTGTAATTTTGTTGGACAGGAAGAACTATGCTCATTAAAATTGTCACATAATAAATGTATATATAATTAAAAATCAAGAAAATATAAAAATATTTGAACCAGTTTCATTCTGGTGTTTACCATGAATGATTTTGAAGGAATAATATGAAAATCTTGAACATCTCCCCCCACCAACCCAAGAAAAAGGACGAAAAAAAAAATATTATGAACATCAGGCAAATGGTTTTTTTTTTTTTATAATCAGGCAACTGGGTACTTAATCCAATAGGAATTTGAACACTAAATACTAAGTTGCAAAAAAAAAAAAAAAACTACAGATACTAAGGGATCCTTAGGAAGAGCTAAAGAACAGTAAATTGGTCACCTTGATTTCCCTGAATGGAATCAGTAAACTCTTTTCAAGCTTCGAGTCTAACCCCAGGAGCCTAGCTGCCAGCTTGAAGTTTCTGTTGGTTGCTGCTAAGGCATTCATGATTGCACTCTATAAATCTGAGAAAAGCTCAACAAATAGTATTTTCTCACTTATGGATGCAAAATTAGGGGGTCTGATTTATTTAAACCACTTTCTTCAGAGAGGGGACTTGGTTAGCTGGAGAAGAAGAACAATGATGGAAAAATGTGAATGACTTGAGGTAAGTTTGATGTAATTTAATATTAAAACATGCACAATTTGGGTTAGTACAACATATCATAAGATCTAAAGAAAATAAGCAAAAAAGTAGCAGAGATAGATTTCGGTTCTTCACTTCTCATCTCATATTATAAAATTCAGGAACATGATACATTCATAAAATTTCATCTTCCAAAAATATTTTTTAATTTATAATTGACAAGTTTCAAAGAAAGAAGTAGGAAGCCTCATCAGCAGACAAAACTACATGTTTCGTCAAGAGCATGTCTCACATGGTTTCCCAATTAACCAGCAAACATAAAGCCTGAAAAATTAATTAAATCTCATATAATAAATAGGATTCCCAGATAATAACGATAAACTTCCATGACATGGCAGCCATTTGATTAGATAAGCCTTCCTGGCAATGCACATTGAATCTAGCAAGGTTTATGTTGTCAATCTTTATACATCCCTTTAATCACACTACATAGAACCCTAATTTGTTTTATACCCTGTGTTGACTTTTGAGTAATTTAATAATTATAGTATTTAATCTTGTTTAACATGCTTAATCAACGCTGATGACCTGGAAGTCTCATCACCAGCAACACACATTTTAAATCATTGCTTAATATTTAATAAGCATTAGTCTTTTTATGGTAGCAAAATCTAAGCAGACTCTGATAGGAATTTGACAATTCTTTTTAAGATAAATTCGTCAGCATCCGACTTTTCCAATTTTGAAAATCTTGAAAGCTAAAGCTGATGCACTCATATATCAAATATTTGCTCTTTCAAAAGACAAACCAGCATGGTCTTCACCAGTTAAACCTGCCAAGAATCATATTAACCATACAAGCAACAAAGGAGCTTGTGGACTCTCAAGAGACATAAGCACAGTAAAATTTTGTAGATTAGCTAGGCAGAGGCAACATATTCATCTTTGGAAATGAAAAAAATTATAAACATAGTGGACCGCAAAGATTGTATAAGAAAACTAGTAATTGTATGGGGTCTATTTAGCCATCAGGAATGTAAATGCTGATTCATTAGATAATAACAATTATATCCAAAAACTCCAAGAGGATAAGATCAATATCTACGTAGCGATTCATGATTATTCAATGCTACCAAGACAACCAGCGACGCAAGGACAAAAGAACAATATGTACATATATATAGATAAATATGAAATGCGGTATGCAGCTTGAATTTTAAAAATTATCCAAGAGTACACAACAAGAGCAAACTCAGAGAGGAAATGGAGAGCCTCATGAAAGACCAAAATTTGGTGGGCTCTCAACCTTAGTCTGTCTCACTTCCAGACACACACACAAACACACCCCAGGCCCCATTGAACTTGAGAGCTTTCACCATCAACAGAGATTACATTGGAGCTCAAATAGTCAATGAAATCAAATCAATTAGCAAGAAATAACCAACCAAAAAAAAAAAAAAAAAAGAAAAAACAAATGGAAAAGAGAAGAACGGACAATTGAGGAATTTACTCGTTTGAGGAATTACCTAGTAGAAATAGTACGGAAGGCAGCAATTCAAAATTGATCTTGATCTTGAAAAGGGAGACCTAAATTGAACTGAATGAATTGAAGTCCGAACCTTAAATGGATAAATAGGGAAAGAGGAAAGAAAGAATCAGATTCAAATTCTCCAAGAAAAGACTCTTTCTCCGATCTCATCACATGCAAAAATCCCAAAATCATATACACACACCCACAAACATAAATGTATCTGCATATCAGCATCCAAAACAAGAATAGATGCTTACCTAGACCAAGTAGCAAGCATCAGCACCGACTCAACATAAGCTTCCATTAGCTCAACCAGAGAGGTTTATGTAGGGCAACCGGAGGGAGATAGAGACAGAGGACACGTGGCTTAGCATGTTTGTGCCCTTTGAAAGTGAGATAAGCTAGAAATAGGCGAGGAACACGCAAAACTGAGTCTATACGAACATGAATCCAACGCGTAATCCATTAGTTCCTGCATTCGATTTTGTTGGATTGAAATTCTTTTCATCTATCATCTTAAATCTCAACATAAAGCTTTGTAACGCATAAATCCAAAATTCGGAAACACTTTTCCCATGAAAAGAAAATCAGTGTCTACTCACTTTTTTTGAGAAGATTTTCCTCAAGCTTTTTCAATTGATTTGAATTTACACCAAATTTCCTTCTTTTTCTTTTTTTGAGTAAATGAATTAATTCTTCATATTCATAGTTTAAATGGCGGCGTGGAATCTCTTCTTACCAAACTGGTTCGTGCTTTCTTACAGCAGCCGCCGATAATCCTGCATGTTATCTTTGATTCTCCCAATTACTAATTAAAATTCCAATTAACATAATATAAAAATATCAATAATTATTTCTTTTTATGTTTTTTTAAATAAAATTAATTTGATTCTTTTAAAGTTAAATCTAATATATAAAAAAATATAATCTTATTTTTAGTTATTAATAATATTTTTATTATGTAAATTTATTTTATTTTATTAGTACTGAGCGGTGTGACCTTAATAAATAAATAAAATATAAAAAATAAAAAATTAAAATAAATTGCTTTTTTCACGTAATTTCTTATTGGCGCCAGTATGAACAAATCAAAAGAGAAAAAAAAAAAAGATTTTTACGATCAAACAAGGAAAAAAAATAATTTCTTCAAAATCGAATATTTTATATTTGTTTAATTTTAATAAATCTTAGATATATTATTTTTCACGATATGCAGATTCTAAGATATATTCCGTATATATATATATATATATATATGAAGATACATATGAATTTATTTGAAAATATAGTCAAAAGATCAATGAACTTTGATCCTGTGGTTATGTTAGTTTTAGTTTAGGATAAAAATTTTAATTTAGGATCTTGTATAAAATAAGATTATTATATAAATGTAAAATAATATATATATATATATATATATATGGGGCGAATTACTTTTAATCCCTTAACAAGTAGCCAACTAGCTCAGGAAGACCATACGAAGGACCATTTCCAAGAACCATTAGTAGCCTCTCTCTCTCTCTCTCTCTCTCTATATATATATATACATATACATATATTATTTGTTCAGTATTTACATATAGCTAGTGGCTGAAGAATTGTATATATAAATCAGCGGTGAGCAACAAAATCTAAGCAAATTAGTAGGAAGCAGATCATGAAATTATAATTACGTCCATTTTCATATAATACATGTATGTTTTCGTGTGTGTGTGTGTGTGTGTATATGTATGTAAAGGTGAATGAATCAACATGCAATTGTTAAAGGTGATTCCATTAGACAGAAATCAACAATAAAGCATTTTGTATAAATAGAATTTGTACACAAATGGAAATGGAGGGTCAACGTGATGAGCATGGATTCCACTCTGTACCCCTTTAAGCTTTTCTTCCCATTGAAGTGTTTTCCATGACACAAACTGAAGGAACATATATACATATATATATATATATATAAGTGCAATTATCCAATCCCACTATATATATATATATATAGGGAGAGAGAGAGAGAGAGACGCGCACACACACACACACACACACACACACACTGTATATATATGCATGTATAAGACTAAACCCTACCACCTCCAGCAAGCTTCTTCTTCCTCAATAATACTGCATTATTATATAGTTTATACAAATTAAGTATAATAATCTGAACTAATTCAAACACTAAAAATCATTACACATAATGTTATAATTATACTAAAATGAATATTATTGAAAAGGGTATTTAGTTGATTACATGTGATTTTTACAATTCTTTTTTTATAATTTTTACTTTCGAAGTTAAATCAAAATAAATTATAATAATTAGATATAAAATTAAATTAACATAATTAATTTATTTTAATAAATACCTCGATAAATATTTATATAATCTAATCAACTGTATAAAATTCGTAACAATAATGAAATTAATAAAATTATATAGTAACGATAATTTTTTATTACATTAATATTTATTAGTGTTAACTAGTGATTTGGGCTCAATAAATTTTTTTTTTTAATGTAATTACATGTTGATATTAATTCTATATTTTATTTATATGGATAAAAAAAAGATAATTATATTGTAAAAATAAGAAAATCAACCTTTTTCATATATACAAAATCTTTTTTTTTAATTTATTATAAAATTCATAAATAAAGTTGTAAATGATAAATTATCATCTTGGTTTAATTTTAATTATGACATCATACATACATACATATATATATATAAGCAAACAGGAAAAGGAAAACATAATGCGCCAAGATGTTATCACAAAGAGAAACAAAGATGCGAAGGAAGAATCTTTTAAGAGATGAAAAATTGGAAATCCTTCTCAGAATCTACAAATATATCCACTCTCATCGTGTGTGTTTGTATATATATATATATACAGATATTTATTTTTTTAATTAAATTTTATTTATGAAAATCAAGTGATGTAATATATACATATCATATTTTATTAAATGTTTTAAAAATACTTTCCTTATATCTAATAAATTAAAATCGTATATTACACAGTTTGAGAAAATCTTTAAAATTATTATTGTTAACATAAATATCAAATTAAACGCTTAATTAATTAATTTTATAAAAAGAAAAATTACTAAAAAATCCATTAAATTTTTTTTACAAATCTTTTTTCCCAAATTTTATTTTTCTCTCTTTTTTAGACAGTGCTAATTAAAGTAGCTTAGCTTAAGATTGCTTAAAAAAATTATATATAATTACAAAAAAAAAAGCAATTATAGAGGTGAAGTGCATATATACATCACTAATTAAAATTAAACAAATTAAAGTTTAGATCAATAATTAATAATTGTCTGCCACTTTATTTTTAATTAAGTAAGTTTAAAAAATTTCAATTTTTTAAATAAAAAATATATATATTTATTAATTACGTAATACACAAATATATCAATTATAATATAATAAAAATAAATATAAAAATACCGTCCAAAATAAAAATCTCTCTATAAAGAAAGATATATATTAATATTCAACTAAATACTGATTAGTTTTTTATATACTATATATTAACTATATGGACTCCTCAAATGGGTAAAAAAAAATCCTTCTATACTTTTATTAATTTTTAAGAGGAAGTGAACTAAAAGAAATAAATTTACAAAACTCAAAGATGCATTCCCAAAGAAAAAAAATGTATAAAATTTAATTAAGTATAATTAATAACATAAAAATGATTGTTTAAAAGAGTATATCAATGTCATTATTAGCTATAATTAATCTAATTTTTTATTTTTATTTTTGTTGGATATTATTATAAATAATAAAAATGACCATTTAAAAAATTAATAACCAATTAATTATTATCCAAGGCTTTCTGTATGTATAAATATATATTTTAAGTTCTGTCCATAGCCATAAAGATAAGCTTACGTTGAGTTGAGGAAGCTTCCATTGAGTTGTAACTCGGTCCAAAAAGCAACACACGCGTTTTCAACTGTATAATCAATGAGTGAAGGAAGGAATGAATAAATAAATAAAACAAACAAAGCATTCAGCAAAAACTATACACTAAATATAAAATAAAGCCATTAGAAAAAGCTGGTTCATCATTTTCTTAGGTTGTCATTTTGTATTCCAATCTCAAAACCCTAACTATCTCAGCAAAACGGTAACACTGTTTTTTTTTTTCGCCATTGTTAGGCTCCTCAATCTCTTCTTGAGTTCTTTGTTTTTTCATATATTATTTGGATATAATTAGCCAAGCTCAGATATCATTAAAAAAAAAAAAAAAAAAACTTTGCTGGGTATTGATTTGAATTGGAAACATCAAAGATGTGCCCTTTACGGTTCATTTTGGTGTTTCTCTCTGCCATTTTGGCAGGGTATTTTGCATGGAGGACAGTTCGTTCTTCGCCAGAAATTGAGCAGGTTTGTGATGATTATCGCATTGAGAAAAACAAGTTGAAAGATGAAGAACAATTCAATTTCAAAAGGGTATGCCTTAAATTTTCTCCTGATTTCAGTGTTTTTCTGTGTTTTCGTTTGTTAATTTTTATTGGGTATTGTTTGTTTCTCATTGTTTTTGTTTTCGTGTCTTTGGAAATGCAGATGATTCAAAATGGGTTTTGGGTATTCGTGGACATGGCAAGCGGGAGGTACTTGTGGAGGAATATGAGGGAGATGAGAAAAGATAAGAAAGCAAAAAGCTGATGGGGGGTTTCTCTGCAAAATTTAACACCTGAAATTCTGTAACCAGAATCGTTTTTATTAGAAATCTTTAGCTTATTTGTTAATTTACTGATTTTTCGATAAATTTTCTTTGTAATTTAGATCTCACACCATTGAGAATTGTATACAGAAATCCATACATATATATATATATATAATCAATGGAAAAAACACTGAAAACCGTTCAAAGGATACGTGAGTCTAAATTGTTGATGCTTGGATCAGATTGACCAAACTGCTCTTTCAAAATTCTTGCAAGTTATTTCACTCTTACAAGATCTTTTATTTTTTTGTTTTTTGTTTTTAAATACAAAGCGAGAAAAGTATCATTAACAACCCCGCACCAAAAGAGTGCCAACGTGCATACAAAATATTTATAAATATACCAAAATATCAATATATTTCACTCTTACAGGATAGACAATCATAACAAAGCATACCAGGTTCTATATTTCATGGAGGAACATCTGTACAATCAAATTTGGGGGAAAAGGAAAATTCATTACAGGGATATACCAGCCAGTTTCAGTTAAGATCAACTTGTAGCTTAATAGACATATACACAAGGGTAAGAAGGGCGCCTTGTGGTAGGGGAGCATATCTTGCAAGATTGGAGCCTACCCACATGGCAACAACTACCAAAACTACTAGGCTGCTGCTGGTTTTTCCACAAACCCAGCTTGCAAAGGAGAGGCACAAAGTGAGCACAATCCCACCTCTTCCGCCCAAGATCCATGCAATTACATAACCAATCTTGTATCCAGCATCCAACTTCTTGTCAAACAAAGCCATCAAGCAGCTATATGTGAGTGATAATAGACATCCAAATGTTTGTAATAGAAACAAAGATACAAAAGCAGATTTAAGGACTTCAATGAAAGAGCCTCTCTCTTGATTGAGGATTTCTTCTTCAGTCTCCTCATCTGATTCATCATAGAATGATGAGTTTTCCTCCTTCACATTATGATGTTCCTGATATCTGCCATACTGCATTTTCTGTCTCATTTCAGCCCATCTATAAATCCTCTCCCTATCTTCAAACTCAGCATTGTAATTCCTCCTTGCTCTATATGACCTAGCATCTTCTTGGTATCTAAGGGCTCGATCATACTGAATCCTTGTAACTTCATTAGTCAATACCTATTCAAGAGTTGGGAAACATCTCAGAGTTTTTGTTATTCGGCTTTCTGAATATTAGCCCATAATGAGGAAACAGGGAATCATTAGGTCATGGAAACCAGCTACCATGTCCAGGTTACCCCAACAAAAACAGAATGTTACACAGACAGGTAAAAATATCTCTAACTAATAGCTTATCATCATTTCTTTTGTAAACTAGATTGCAGGGAAGAAGATAGTAATTAGGGCAAAATAAAGTTGTTCTTCTGAACAACCTATTGAAATAGCTACTTGAAATTAATGTACCACAAAGGTGCAAGGTTCTCACTTCATAGGCACAATGGATGCGCTTGAATAGCTCCCCAGCTCTAGAGTCCTTGCTAACATCAGGATGAAACTATAATAACATGAAAATACTTTTAAATGTTAGCATCGTTAGCTCCCATCTCATAACAGAAACAATACCAAGGTAAATTTTTTTATGAACACCCTTGAGTTAACTTGTTAACTAGAAAAAGGAAAAAAATCAGCAGAAAAGCCAGTGACTAGAACCTACATGTAAAATAGAATCAGATTACTATGATAATGAAATTGACAAAATGAAAGAACACGGTTTACTTATAAATTTGGCAGACACTACGATAATTTTTCAAGTGCAAGGCATAATAATGCAAGCAAACCTAAAGACTCAATTACTCGACATTTCTTAGGCATTTCCTCATAAGCAACATATTGGTAACTTCTAACATTCCGTTCTTCATGTATAATAATAGCTTACAAATGAGTGATGGTGCCAGAACAAGCAGCGAGACAAAGAAACTGAAGACATGATGGATAAATAACTTACAAAGTAATGTAGAATGCTTTCAAACCATTTTCATTAGAAACAAAGATTCATTAGAAGAGAGGCATTTTCGGATGAAATACATCCATAAACATTCACCCTATAACATTAGATGGTAAAGTTAACAGTGTTGGGGAAGTATACCTTGCAACAGGAGGAAGCTCCAAGATTCCAGTGGAATTAACCACGGAATCAAATGTATACTATCTTGAGATACCATAATGAAAAGTGAGATAACACATGCATGAACACAAACTTGTCGCATATCACACAAAGTTGGGATACACAGATTTATACTACTGATGAAACCATATTAAGTGAGATCAGATATGCATGAAGAGAAACATGTGTTCTAATCAGATGAAGTCACAAATTAAAACACATTCCCTATGAAAAGAAGGTGCTTGTGTATAAAGTATATTCTATAAACTCAGGTCCGAAGGTTCTGCTTTTTTTGCAGGAGATACTGCATGGAGGAAGAACTCGAACAGGGATTATGACCGAGTGTCCTAAACTCCTGCTTTTAGAACATTTGCTCCTCTAATCACTGGTATAGTTCATTCTATTCATATGTGGTATTGTCACTAAAACCATTACACCCGAAGTACAATACTTTTCCAATTCACAGTAGCATGTCAAACTTAAGTTCACGCCCACGACACAGCTCCAAGTTAAATCTTAAAGAAATTATTCGAAAAAAGAAATTATCTGCTTTGTACCACCAGATAAGATTAAGGATCCAGGGAAATTCACTCTTAACATTAAACTTTCTTTCACATAAACATTACTTGTACTGAGAAATTCAATGTAATTGGTTTGAATACTAAATCTGATTTAAAAGAAAGAGTCTATCATTAGTATGTACCTTTAGGGAATTCTTTATGGAGTGTTTTACCATTTAGTTTGTAGATAATAATATAAGATTTTCTTACATAATAGAATACTAATTTTTATTTGACGAACTTCCGGTTCCGCTTGTATAATTGTGGAAAATAATTGAGAATGGTCACTGCTACACAGTAGAGAAAGGAAATAACATCACTCGTTCATCATCGAACCAATAAAACAATCTAAGACGGAGTAACAATTACAAATCTCCTCGATTTTCCTTCACTTTTTCGCCAACCAAACAGAAATTGTGTGTGAAAGCGTATACCTTGCGAGCGAGAAGGCGATAGGCTTTTTTGATATCGGCAGAAGTGGCGTTGCGAGTGACACCTAGGATGGCGTAATGATTCTGCTCGCCGTTGATGGTCGCCGGTGACGATGAAGAAGATGAAGCAGCTACTGGCACTTGACGGCGGCGATTATGGCGCGACCGGAGGTTACGCTTCCGGTAGTGAAGCAGACGATGCCAATGAACCGGAAAGATTGAGGGTTTAGCGTTGATGGGAGAAGAAGAGGAGAAGGAATGAGAGCCGTTGATGGGAATCGGTCCCACCAGCAGGTTCGCCTGCATTATCATTCATGCACTCTTCTTTCTCATTTCTCCGTCTGTTTGTTCAGAGACCCCTTATTAGCAAGTGTTGGAGAAACGTTATTCTCACCGGGGCTGTCACTCCACTGACTCCATTTTTCTTTTTTTATTTTTAATTTAATAATTAAATTATATAAAAATACTATTTTTTAAAATAAAAAATAAAAAAATAATATTTTTTACTGAAAAAAATTATAATATTAAAATTAAATATCATAAATCGATCCAGTTCAAACAAATTTTGCCTCTGTGTCAATCGCTCCATGCTTTCCGGTTAGCATTCACGTAAAAAGCTAAAACCAGCTTTCTATCCCTCAAGAGCAATTAGTAACTTGCAGAGAGAAGCAACGCATGTCATCGATCGGGTATTTGATTTTCTCTGTTTCTTCGTCTGGATGCAAACTTTTCTCTACTTGTTTTCAATGTTGCTTGTCTGATTCTAACCATGCGTTTCCTTTATCAAGAAAATGTGATGATTCTGTTCATTACTTACAATATCTCTTTCATTGTTCGTACAATTGTGTTTATACATCATCTCCATTTTTTGTTGTTATTTTGCTTTAGTCTAAAAATTTGATGCGTGTTAATGAGGTAAGTCGGTTTAGCACGGCTCTGTGAAAAATTTACTAGGTGATGTCTATCTTGATCTCTCTGTTTGTAGTAGAAACAAAATTGCATTATGATCTCCATTTCTTTCGGTTTCTGTGTGGGAAATGGTAGTTAAAAGAAGGAGGTAGAAAGGAATATGGAGGATGGAAACATAATATTGAAGAAGATAAGGGAATTTTATCCTAGATCTGTATGGCTAAGGTTTGAACCTGATACAGAAACAGTACTGAAATAGGCATAATCGTATAGCAAGTCTTTATTGCAAAAAAAAAAAACATAATTTCATGGAGCTATTACTAGGTATTCTAAGAAGTTCTGTGGTTCATCCTTAAATTTTTGTTTTCGTTAGACCACTGCAAGTTTTTGTTGATTTGATAAAAAGCTGAAGTGGTTTAGTGAGACCGACGATCTGTTACTCTCTCCATTTTAGATCACAGCTTCCGCTTTGTAACACTGTTATTTTTCAAGTTAGTTCATGTCATTAACCTGTTTTTTTGTGATTGTTATACAATCTTTTAGCCTTATTTGAAGAGAGTATATGGAAGGTGTATTTTCTAATATGGTAATCTTTGGTTCAGTTGTCCAGGCTTAGGGAAATAATAGAAAGATAATATATTATAATGTCTACTGTTGGCAATTCAACAAACATATTTTGGCAAGAATCGCCTGTTGGGAAGCTTGAGCGGCAGGCACTACTTAATCAAAAGGGATGTGTTGTGTGGATTACAGGTCTCAGTGGATCAGGTTGATACTTTTCTAACTGTAAATTTCCTACAGAAGAAAAATTATCATATAGCCTGGAGTTTAAACTTTTGCAGAATTTGTCACTTGTCGGGGATTTATCCTTGAATGATTTAAATATTCTCTGTATTTGGTGCTTTGAAAACCAACTTTGCACTTGTATATACTATATGTGGCAATTATAATTCCTCCGCATTACCAGTTTTTGCAATTATCAGGAGCCTGCTGCTTGCCTTAGTGGTCGGCTGCTCAGCATTTGGATTTAGAATGTGATGGTGCTAAAAGCTTAATGGCAACAAGACATTCTTATTATCTTAGAAAGATTAAGCTATACAAATAGACTGTGGAAACCATATTGTTCGGCTAGCGAGTGCCTATTATGTGGTTTTGAATTTGTGTACCGTGGCTCTGTTACTGATTTTCTTGTTCACTAAGTTAATATGTCACTAATATGGTGAATGACATTATCTTTTGTCTTTGAAGTGCCATGTTCACTTTGTGAAACTGTTTGAAACAGGAAGCAAAATGAATCCGGAAGTAAAACTTGAAAACATTGTAGATAGTTACGAAAAACTAATAAAGTATTGACTGGTTTAGTACAAATCACCAGAAACAATTGCTAACTAGCTCATTAATCAACTGTAGTAACCAAATAAAGATAACCAGTGAGTAGACTAGCTATTGCTCAATTTCCTAGGTTTGAGATATAGAGAAGCTCTCTATTCTTACTGCCTAACTAAGGCTGTTGAACTGATAAATAGTTCTTTTTGGAAAATAATTTTTTACGATATCATAATACAGTAATGAATATCAGGTACTGGGAAAGGCTGTAGTTTGCATTATGTTCTATTGAGCTCATTCTCTCTTTCCCCATCTCTCTGCAATTTTCAGGGAAAAGCACTCTGGCATTTTCATTAAGTCGAGAACTGCACTCCAGGGGAAAGCTATCTTACATCCTTGATGGGGATAATCTTCGGCATGGACTAAACAAAAACCTTGGTTTTGATGCAAAGGATAGAGCTGAAAATATACGCAGGGTTGGTGAGTTTACTCATCAGATGACAAATTACTCATGGTTAAGATGAAAGGAGAATCTGAGTCCAAATATTTAGGTGCTTCTCTAGCATGTATCATTTCATGGTATGCATGTTAGTGTGTGCTGGCATACACACATTCTATCCATGACTCTGAACATTTTTCTCTGTGGCTAAATTGAGATTGCCACAAATTACTCAAAGTGTCATTGCTCGGGAATCTTTATGGTTTTAAGTACGTAATATTGACATACAATTGCATATCTAAAATTTCTGTGGAGATTTTTGGTTCAGCCAGTGAAGTTTACCTTTCTATGCATGCATACCAAAACATCTTTGTGAATTCCTTATATAATTAATAGGAATTAGTTGGTTGGCTGTTCAGGTGCTGTATGCGTTTGTGTTTTTTCAGTGTCAATATATTTGAACATGTAACTTCACATAATATGTACGTATTGAAGATAATAACAATATGATTAAGTTTCAGATCTAATTGTCATAAATGGAAAATTTTTAAATTGTGCAGTACTATTGAAGATTGTACCTAATAGAAAATTAATGAGCTTGTAGAAAATCATCTAGCAGTTAGAAGCCTAAAATATGGTTACCTTGAACTTTGATAAATTACGAGGTACAACTGTGTAGGTTTGACCTAATGCTTTGTGCGTTAGATATTCCTAATAATTGTGTCTGATATAGGAGAAGTGGCGAAGCTATTTTCAGATGCTGGTTTGATCTGTATTGCCAGTTTGATATCACCATATAGAAAAGATCGAGATGCTTGCCGTGCAATGTTGCCAGATGCAAGTTTTATTGAGGTAAGTTTCTTCGCAGATTTCTCTTATCATATATTGCTTTATATCTTAAAAATGGAATAACACCTTCCTTGTATAAATGCAGGTTTTTATGAACATGCCTTTAGAATTGTGTGAGGCAAGAGATTCAAAAGGCCTGTACAAGCTTGCACGAGCTGGGAAGATTAAAGGTGTAAATTTTAATCTAGCTTGTGACTTTAATTGGTAAATTAAAATATGCTGGCTATTCTTTCCTATCCTTCTTTATATTCTTTAACCATGCACATGATGCACTTTGAAGGGAAACGACTGGGATGAAGCAGAGAGGAGAAAAAAAAAGTACAAGCACGTAATATGTTTGCCTATGAGCTATGCAACAATGCTAAGAACTTAAAAAGAAAAGCATGTTTAGACAGTTCATTGCGGTAAAACTAGAATTAAGCAATGAAATTTTTAAGGAAGGTTGATTAATCATTTTATGTGCATGTCAACATTGTGTTAGCTCCTTCTTCCTGCCATATTTTTAAAGAGGGAAATTATTAGAGAGTTGGTTAGTAATGTCAAGAATCTAGTGGTGCATACTGCTCTGACTGACACATGAAAGAAAATATCACGTTATGCAGGTTTTACTGGAATTGATGATCCATACGAACCGCCACTGAATAGTGAGGTAAGTTTCTAGACCAACACATAGACCTATCATGATGAGCTAAACATGATTCTTGCTATTTGAACATTGTTCTAAATTACTAGTGAGATACTTGGTATTGGATGTAATTTCTTTAAATCATGAACTGGGGAGTCT